GAATAGTAAGTACACCATAGTATAGAAGTCAAGGAAGTGGGGGCTTGGAGCAGTTAGCCACTTTACATCCACAGTCATAAGTAGACAGCACTGAATGCATGTCTGCTACTATCTGCTCCTTTTCTCCTTTTCTCTTAGACAGCCTTTAGAACGGTGCCACTCAGGGTGAGCAAGTCTTTCTACCTCAAACGACATAATCAAGTTAAGCCCCAATAGATGTGCTTAGAGGGCCATCATCTTCCAGGTGATTCTAGATTTTCTCAGGTTGACACCACTAAACATCATGTCAGCAAAAGCACATTCCATGTTCTCCTATTATTCTGGAGTCCCACTTGAATGCCCTGGAAACTTCACAACATTTTGCATCTAGTTTATTATTTATGTTAACTTTCTCTTACAGTGACAAATACCTGAGTTAACCAAGAAAATGTTCATTTTTGTTCATAGTTTTAGGGTTTCAATGCATGGCCATTTGGCACCATGACTTTGGGCCTGCTGTAAGACAAGCACAAAATGATAGGAAACACATGGTTGAGCAATCTACTCCTCTATGGCAGCTAAGAAGCAAAGAAAGAAGGATTCTGTGTTCCATGATCCCCTTGGAGCGAATGACCTTCCATTCAGCCTCACCTCCTCAAGGCTCCACCACTCAACAGAGCCTGCGGTGGTGACCAAGCCTTTAATGTTTGGGGGGAACATTGAAGATTCAAACTGTAGTACACCCAAGAGGCAATTCTCAAATAATATCAAGTAAAATCCTTCAAGGACACCAATCCTGCAACTGGTGGTACTAAGAATGCCAGAGGAAGAGTTTCCGGTCAAATAGTGTAACTCAGGAAGGAGCCTGCCCTCAAGTTGGTAGCTCAGGAGGATGCAAGTTAAAATCCTAAAGAACTGAAGTTGTCGGAGGAGTCTTTGGCCCACAAGAATTTCTCCTGCATCAGTAAGTGTGCAGGTTTTTGTTTTTGTTTTGTTTTGTTTTGTTTGTCAGCTTGACACTAAAGTCATCTGGGAGGAGGGAACTTCAACTAGCAGATAGCAGATGGTCATTGATGATTGAATTGAAGAAGAGACAAAAACTTAGCCAGGTGTGGTGGCATACACCTGTAATCCCAGCATTTGTGAGGTAGCTACGGTAAGATCAGACTTGCAGGACAAGCCCGGACTACATGAGATCCTGTCTCATAAAATAACAGATCAGCCGGGCGGTGGTGGCGCACGCCTTTAATCCCAGCACTCGGGAGGCAGAGGCAGGTGGATCTTTGTGAGTTCGAGGCCAGCCTGGTCTCCAAAGCGAGTTCCAGGAAAGGCGCAAAGCTACACAGAGAAACCCTGTCTCGAAAAACCAAAAAAAATAAAAAAAATAAAAAAAATAAAAAATAAATAACAGATCAACCAAAGGAAAAAACAAAAACAAAAAACCCCTCATTGTTAATGATAAGAAAATTAGAGGTAACTTACATGCCTGACTTGGTTAAAAGCAGATTCCATGAGAACTAGAACCAGTAATAACCATGGCGTTTACTAAGGTGCCATTGGTTAAATACAGTGTCTTAATCTTTTAAATACAATGAGTGAGTATATATATATATATATATATATATATAAGAATATATTGTATCATTGTTAAAATTATATATTAATTTTATTTATTAACCATATATTAATGCAGCCATTTAAAAAGATGCTTTCTAAAAGCAAATCTCTCTTCCACATCTTTACCCTAAAACCTGAAAGTCAGTATTAATAGCAATTTTATAACCAACAAAAGTTGAGAATAATGTTATTGACCTCCAGCTGGTGACTAGAACAATAAACATGTATACAGTGTTTATTCATAGACTAGAATTCTACTGAGCAATACAAAGAACCAAATTAACATGGATGATTATGGGTGTAGTAAGCTAAGTGACAGAATCTAGACCCAAAGGTAAGTGTGTAATTCCACTTGTGTAGTATTATAGAGAAAGAAAAACTATAGGGCTAGAAAACATGAATGATTGCTAGGGGGAGGTAAGTGCCGATTAACTGCAATTTAACAGAAGGAAGTTTTTGTGGGTGATGAAACTGTTCTGTCTTTTTTCTTAAGGTTTGTTTTTATTTATGTGTGCGTCTCTCTCTGTGTACATGGACACCAGAACAGGGTGTCAGATCCCCTGGAGCTAGAGTTCCAGGAGGTTATGAATCTCCTGGCTTGGGTGCTGGGAACAGAAACTCAGTTCTCTGGAAGAGCAGTACGTGCTTGTAACTGCTGCGCTGTTTCTCCAGCCCGTTACTGTTCTGTCTTGATTGTAGTGGATATGTGACTGCATCATCAAATCTCAGGGGACTGGCTGAGCGATGGCAGTGCATGCCTTTAATCCCAGCACTCAGGATCTCAGGACCATCTTGGTCTACAGAGCAAGTTCCAGGACAGCCAGGGTTACACAGAGAAACTTTGTCTTGGAAAACAAAACAAAAACCTCATGGACTGTATTGCTTGTCATATAGCAGGCTGCCTGTACCCTTCAGCTCTAGGATGGACTGAGAGCAGTGAGACAGGCGGGCTCCAACTGCCAGCTTGGGGAGACCTAGGCCTCCTGCTTCATTCTGCATGGCTCTCTGCTGCTGCTAGATCCACCTCACACTGAAAACGGAACAGATGGTGATTTCTTGCCCCCCATTTTCTCTGGAACATTCTTAATCCACAGAGAAATTTCGAAGGGAAAAAAGGCCTCCATTATTAAATGTGCAGTCTTCTGGTCCTTATGAGCATAAATTGTACCTAATTAGAATATTTCTATCATTCACGTTCATTTTGTATTTCTCAAACTATTTAAACATGGATAAGTCAAACGTTCCTGGAAATGGCTACATGGACATTGTCTGGTAGTGGAAACTTGTAGAAAACCATTAGAAAACAAACTCAAAGCTGAAATTTGAGTCAACAAAACAAACAGTTCTACCTAAGAATTACAATTGCTTTTCTCTGTCCTTAAGAATAAGAGAAATAAACCGGGCGGTGGTGGTGCACGCCTTTAATCCCAGCACTCGGGAGGCAGAGCCAGGTGGATCTCTGTGAGTTCGAGGCCAGCCTGGGCTACCAAGTGAGTTCCAGGAAAAGGCGCAAAGCTACACAGAGAAACCCTGTCTCGAAAAACCAAAAAAAAAAAAAAAAAAAAGAATAAGAGAAATAGCTTTTTTTTACACCTTTAAATGAATATATTTTTAAGAACCAGTGGGTTTGCTTAATTGTGTTTCAGGTTTAGTCCCCAAAAGTGTTTAATGAGTCTTTTGAGTTATTGATTGGTTGTTAGTATTCATGATGATTATACATGTTTTCTGTACATAAACAGCAGTTGTTCATGGGAATTTGCCTAATTCCCACTAAATAACCTTTCATAGAGAAGAGAGACAGAGACAGAGGGAGAGACAGACAGACAGATAGAGGGGGGAATATGAATTAATGTGGCTTCCAATAATGGTGAAATTTAGACATGAATTACTTTTCTCAAATAGAGAATAAGATTTAGGACACGTTGTCTATAAAACACCAAGACTACCTTCTTATTTTCCTGAGTTGTATCAGCACAAGGGCATTAACTGATAATTAGTGTCTGTATAACCTCATAGGAGATTTTTATGGATTTATGATGTTGATAAGTACACAGCATGTGTATGACAGTTTACATCCTTCTTTATTGGAGAGTACTTTTATTAGAAATACTTGCATGATATGAAAATGCACACCACTTTAAGATTTCTATGTGAGTTGCCTATTTGAAAGCTTCATGGTTCGAGGCCAGCCTGGTCTACAAAACAAGTTCCAGGACAGCCAGAGCTGTTACGCAGAGAAGCCCTGTCTCAAAAAACCAAAAAGAAAAAAAAGGCCTCGTGGTATTTCTGAAAACATTTTTAATCTTCTAGCCTCTTACAGTAAGCATTTTCCTCCCTCTGACATTAATTTCCTCCTTAAGGTTTTCACTTCTGTAGTAATCTTAGAGTAAATGGAAGTACACATAATAATAAGCCCATCTAGATTTTTAACGCCCTGATTTTTCTTAGGTAGTCTTGTAATAAGGAAGTAATTCAACGCAGAAAACATCAGTTCTGCACGTGCACACTGAGCTACAAACTGGCCAATATCCCATTCACTTAGTGCTATATATCTGAGCACATCCACCCTTACATTAGGACAGACAAGATTTGCTCTCTCCCTGGAGTAGCATATGCATAATAAAAAGTAAATAAATATTGATAATTGCTTCTATATGTGCAGAAATTTAGAAGCAAACTGTTAGAGGACTGTTTCAGTTGTATCTAAGGCTTCAAGAGCAAGCATAGCAAATCTAATCTGTTCATTCTCCTGTTTTTGTAATGCGCTACATCATACCTTCCTCAAGCACCAATACTGTCTTGTTTTTTCACCCCTTACTTCCTATGTCCGTGAGAAAAAGGAATAATCAGAAAAAACTTAGAGAAACCACCTCACTACAACCACTGCATGAGTCGCCTACCTCTATCTGAATTGTCTGCCTTTCCCCCTTGTGAATGAAATGTTCCTAGCTCCGCAGCTCTGCAATTCGTACCTTAGGTCTCGTACTTACCTTACTTACTGATTATGATTTAGCAGCTTTCTCCACTCTCCTGCATCATCACTCTCATTTGAATGAACTAGAAACCACCTTGCTAGAAACAATAATCAGTTTTCTAGGATTCTGTTTTTAAGGTTTATTTTTTAAGGTTATTTTTATTTTTGTTTATGTGCATGTGTGTGGTGATTGGCACAGCTTTGGAATCAACCTGACTTGGGCAACAGGGAATGAAGAAACAACAGACTCATTGTGGTAGTTTGAATGTAGTTGACCCCCATAAGGTCATAAGGAGTGGCACAATTAGGAGGTTTTGGCTTTGCTGGAGTAGGTATGGTCTTGTTGGAGGAAGTGTGTCACTGTGGGGGTGGGATTTGAAGTCTCACACATGTTTAAGCCAAGTCTCAGACCACTTCCTATTGCCTGCAGGTCAAGATGTAAGAACTTTCAGCTCCTTTTCCAGCACCATGTCTGCCTGTATGCTGCCTTGCTTCCTGCCATGACGATAATGGACTAAACCTCTGAACTGTAAGCGAGCCACTCCAAGTAGATGTTTTTCCTTTGTAAGAGTTGCACTGGTCTTAGTGTCTCTTCACAGCAATAGAAACCCTAACTAAGATATTCATAAAAAGCTGAGACCCATGGATCATACACTCTGATGGAGATACACCATCAGCAGCCCAGAAACTTGGTATGTTCATTATATACAATATGAACAAGGAGCATGTTTATTACATTCAGCGAACTGAAGAGGCAGGTTAGCTAATTTTGGTGGTGGTGGGGTGTCTCTGTAAAGGAGTAGTTCCAGGCTATATTCATTCTTGAGGAAGAAGCTGTGGTTGATACTTTCTGCACACACTGTCAGCATCCATACTTGGACTAGGGGAAGGCCTTACCATTCTCTTGAGCCTGAAATAGGGAGAGGGGTCTGAGGTGTTGACATCCTTGACATGGCCATGCTCATGTCAACAATTCACATTCACTCCAGACTTTGTCTGCTCCAGACTTTGTCTGCTCTCTACCCCAGCCCCTGTGTATGTTCTGTGTGGGTGGGTGGGTACCCAAAGAGGCCAGAAGAGGACATCAGACCCTCTGGAACTGGAGTTACAAGCATTTGTAAGCCACCTTACATGAGTGCTAGAAACCAAGCCCAGGTTCTCTAGAGGATCAGGAAACTCTCTTAACCGCTGAGCTAGCTCTCTAGCCCCTATTTTTATTTAGTATGTGTAGTATGGTGGGGGGAGTATGTGCACATAAGTGCATGTTGTTGAAATTTTCTCTGGGCCTCCAACCAGCTCCCAAATAAAGACACAGAGACTTACTATTAATTATGAATGCTTGGCCTTAGCCTAGGCTTGTTTCTAGCTGGCTTTATTTTTTAACTTAGATCAACACATTTCTATTAATGTGCTGTCCGGGGCTCATTTACCTTTTCTACATACTGTCCATCCTGCTTTCCTGCTTCCTCCATGTCTGGCTGATTGGCCCCTGGCTGACTGGCCTTTGGCTGGCTAGCTGGCTGGCTTCCCTTTTCTCTCTGTCCACCACTGCCTATTCCTCCTCTGCCTAGCTATTGGCCAGTCAGTTTTTTATTAAACCAATCAGGTGGCTTAGGCAGACAAAGTAAAACAGCAACACATCTTTACATAGTTAAACAAAAACAACATACCTTTATGTAATTAAACAAATGCAATACATCTTTGCAGAGTTAAACAGTTATTCTGCAACACAAACAAGTGTAACACATCTTTACTTAAACAAATATTCTATTCTACAAGTGCAGGTGCCCGAGGAAGATGTGTTAGATATTATAAGTGATTGTGAGCTGCCCATTGTGGGTACTAGGAACCAAACTCAGATCTTCTGTAAGAGTAGTGTGCACTCAACCACTGAGCCATCTCTCCAGCTCCAGTTATCTGGAATTTTTGCAGTAGCCTATCTAGTATCCTTTCAGTTCCCTTCACTTTTGACATATTTTCATCATGACAGCCAGAACGATGTTGTTAGTATCTAAGATTGTCATTTCACCTTTCTGCTCAGAACCTTCTGGAGGCCTCACACTTACTGAGTGTAAAAGTTGAAGTCCTACAAACCCTTACTTGGTCTTCCTCGACCTCTTTCCCTAACAATGCATGCTGTGTTCCTTTGGCTCTTCCTGCACCAGCCATACCGGCTTCTTTATTTTTTCTTGAATACCCAGGTATACTCCCAATATTTGGCCCAAATTTTCACATCTTCTTCCTGATTCCTCAAATGTCAGTATTCCTCAGATATCACCTAATCAATGAAGTCTTTGCTGCCTGTGAACTCTGAAAGTATAGCTCACTGTAAATGCACTTGCCCAGCATACAGGAAGGAACTGGATTCTGTCCCTTGTGGGGGTTGGGGGAGAAATTATTTTCTCCTCCTTCCTGCTCTGTTTCCCCTTATTACCATTATCACCATCCTGTAAAATACAATACATTTTTACTTATTAGTTGTTTATGTTATGTCTCATCTGCTCTAAGATCCTTAAGCAGTGTGGGATTTTCACTCCTTTGTACCTCCCTCACAGGTTACTAGTATGTTCCTGGAACATAGCAAGTAGCCTATAAACATTGTTGAAGAACAAATCTGTTTCTATGAAGGTATGACTAGAAAATGACTTGGGAAATAAATGTAAATTGAATTTGTTCTCACCTTTTTTCACCATTTCTGTTTCATAGAATTCATGTGTTTAGCTTCAAATGGCCTAACCTAAGCATTCCCCTTTCTAGGAATTATGGATGTCTTCTCCTATATAGTTTAAGAGAAATACACAGTGAAAGAATTATGTACCTCAGGGCTGGCCAGACGCCTCAGTTGGTAAAGAAAGACACTGCTACCAAGCCTGATGACCTGAGTTTGAACTTTGGAACTTACTTGAAAAAAGGAAAGAACCATCTTATACACACGTTTTTCTCTGACCTCCACATGCTCATGGCGTGTGTGCCCACACATAGAAATAAATGGTTTTGTCCATTTTTTCTCTTGTTGTTGAGATTAGAATTATAACTTTTCTCCCTTCCCTTTTGTGTCTGCAAACCTTCTCACGTGCCCCTCCTTATTTGCTTTCAGATTCATGGCCTCTTTTTCATTAATTGTTGTTCCACGCTTATGTGTGTATAAATATATATTCCTAAATATAAACTGCTCAGTCCATATAATGCTGTTTATATGTACATTTTCAGGGCTGATCATTTGGTTTTGGATGACGAGTTTGTGTGCTCTTCCACTTCTCCCACTCTGAACATTCCTTATTTGCCTTTGCGTAGGCTTGAGGCCTCATGAGCTTTTCCCCATCCACTTTGCCCTGTCTACTGGTGCTGTTCTTCAGCTCGTATTTAGGCAGTCATGTTGGTGGAACTTTATGGTTGGTGTATGCCTTTAATCCTAGCACTCAGCAGGCACAAGCAGGCAGGTCTCTGTGAGTTCAAGACCAGCCTAGTCTACATATTGAGTTCCAGGTCATCCAGGGCTGCTAGTGAGACTGGCCCTCTCTAAAAACAAAATGTTGCTTAATTTCCAAATATTTTGAATTTTTATAGAAAACTTTTCTTGATTTTTGTTGATTTCTAGTTTCTATTTTTCTTGATTTCTAACTTAATTAGATTTTAAAATAAGAACTGTTTTTATAATTCCAATCCTTTTAAATATTTCGAGACTTGTATACTGACCCAGTGGACGGTCAGTATGAATATGAAGAATGTTTGAAAAGAAAATGTGTATATAGCAGTTGTGGAATGGTGTGTTCTGTAACATCAGATAGGCTGGGTTGTTTGATAATATTACTGAAATCTTCCATGTCCTTGTTGATTTTCGGTATGTTTGTTCTGTCAATTACTTTATCAATCAAAGAAATTGGAGTTTCTATGACTGTAACTTTATCATACCTCCTTTCAGTTGTATTAGCTTTTATTTGTATTTTGAAGCTTTGTTAGGTAGATGAATATTTAGAATGGTTATATTTTCCTGATGATTGACCCTTTTCCCATTTTGAAATATTTCTCTTTATTTCTGGCAATGCCTATCCTCTAACCTAAAGTATACTTTGCTAGTAGCCACTAGTTCATCTTCATTATGACCAAAGTTTAAAATATGTATCTTTACCTATCCTTTTGTTTTAATTTGTGCTTTTATATTTAAAACATATTTCTTAATGATAGCTACAGTGCTTCATTGTCTAGTCTGACATTTCTGCCTAATTAGTATGCTTAGTTCATTTGCAGCTAATGTAATTATTGACATGACTGGGTTTATCTCCATCTTGCTGTTTTATTTGTTTGTTCATAGTCTCTCTCTCCCCCTCCCTCCCTCCCTCCTTCTCTCCCTCTCTCTCTTCCTCCCCACCGTGTGTGTATACATGTGTGTACTTGTGTATATAGAGGCCCAAGGACAGCCTCAGATTGTCCAGCTTGTTTTCTGAACTGACCTGGAGCTCACCAAGTAGGGTAGGCTGGCTGGCCAGTGAGCCCCGGAGAGCCTCCTGTCTCTACCTTTTCAGTCTTGGACTACAAGTGTGAGCTACCACACCTGACTTGGTTGTTTCATTTGGGTTTTGGAGATGGAACTTAGGCCCTCCTGCTAGAACTATGTAGTAAGAATGTGTCTCAAAAAAAAAAAGTAAGTTTATTCCTGTGAGCATCCTTCTGACTGAAGCAAATGGATGTATCCTACACAATATGTATGCATTTATGATATCCAAGTTCTGCCCATGCAGGTAATAGTGAATTATAGCTAGCTCAGGTTTCCAAGAAACTGGAAAAAGGTTTAAAAACATTAGTGTTAAAGGTGCCAGTGAGCTTCTACCCAGTAAGTTATGATCACACACATTTATGATAGTCTTAACCTGCCTGATGATTGATCTTTTACTAGCATGTATTATTTAAATGTGAAAATATCATGTTCATGTTTAAAATGTTAAGAGCACTTTAAAAGTCTTCAATGTGATGCTAGATCACACCTTAATACTTCAACAATAATTTAAAATACCATAAAATAGTTGTCTTATACATTGTTTAACTCTATTCCCTACTTGTGAGCTCCCCAGTTTACAATATGTTTCTGATTCCAATCTCTTAACATGGATCAGTTCAGTTATATGTTTGGTAAATGCTCATTTAGCGATGTGCTCTCTATTCTATAGCTAGCTAGCTAGATGGGTGAATGGATAGGTAAGTAGGTAGGTAGGTAGGTATGCAGGTAGGTAGATATCGGGGACTGAGGGGGTCCAGCCCCTTGATAGTCCCCTCCAAGTGTCCAGGAAGAATCTACAACCAGCTGATAATTTAATCTTTGATGAGTCTATGTACACGAAACACCTTAGTCCATACATTTTATTATTCTGTGTCAGTTCTCTCTCTCTACAAGCTTCTATTCTGCTCTCATGCCTAGCTCCTTTCTTGCCGGATTTCTCTCTACATTTATCTGCTGTCCCCTCTAAGTTCTAACTTAATTCTCTCATCTTAGTTCTGCCCCATCTACGTTCTCATCCATTTAGTACTTTCCCA